TTTACCTTTCTTCCTATAAGAGACACCCATTTTCAATGGTTCGATTTAAAGTGCGTATTCTAGCTGATTCAGATGCTTAATTTTGTTTTTGAAATCTTGGATCAGCTTGACTCCTCGTTCAGCGCATTCATTAACCATTGCTTATGGCGTTGATCCTGCTCAAGCCAATTAATTTGTTGGTCCAACATTTACAAACTTGAAGATGTATAGCTCGTTGTGAATGAATCTTGCATTATGACAAGCACCGGGATTTTAAATCCGAAAAATCTTTATTATTTTGTAATTCTGCGCCAAGATAAACAATTACCAGTTCAATAAGTTCCCAATAATTTTCTCTTATTTCTTCATTAGCGTGGGGTAAAATTTGTCATCTTCTAAGCTTTTTTTGTTTTCATCGTCCTCGCCAATAATTTTTTTAACTCAGCGTTTTTGTTGACAATCTTATTTTATTTTAGTGTTTTTGTATTCAATTAGATAATTTAGTAAATTTGACATAGACTTTTTTAAGTTAATAAAAGATTTAATTTTTAGAGTTAATAAAAATTTCAATGAGTCATCTAAAAATAATAATAAAACAGTATTAATATTATTTATTATCCCGCAAGTTATTAATAAATCGATTATGTATTTTAATACCTAAAAAGAGTAAATGGCAATAAATAAAAATCGTGTTTTTATTTTTGTTTTTTATTTGATTGTTCTTTATTACAATATTTAAGATACATTACAAACATATACAAAAAAAAACTATAAGTGTTGTTATCGCCCACCACATACAAGTGCTGTTAGCGCCCACCGTGTTTAAGAACTAAACAAAATATTTATTTATTACTTCAAAACATAGTTCAATTTGTTTGGTCATAGCAGCTTCTATTTTAAAATAAAACTAGAGGAAATGAACCCGTACGTATATTTTGAAACCCTATACAGGTTCGGAATAGGAAGAAAAATGCGCTCCCCGGTACGCTGATTTTGAAAGAGAGAACTTTTTTTGACACTTGCTTTGTTTTTTAAAACAAAACAAATGATAAAAAGTGTATTGAAGTGAAATTGAATAATTATACAAAAAATCAAATAATATTGACAAAAAATTAAGATTTTATATCAACTTTGAGCATTATAGTACATAAAATTTTACAAAACTTCACAACTCAAAACCGTGATTGTAAGAGTACACATTTATTATTTTGAAAGCTAAGATTTAGTAATCACATGTAAAAGCCAATTAGCTACAAAGTATCAAACCGATGGTGAAATTCGACCATCAGGTGATTCTTCTGTGATTTTTTAATACAGTTTTATATTTTACCTATTAATATGTTTATACCAATATGTTCATGTTCATATGTATCAATATTACCTATCAATATTTATTTTATTTATTTTAATTTTATTTAAGTGCCCCAAGAAGTCCTTACGGGCTTATCACAGAGCACCGCGGATGAACATTTAATTGAAAGTTCACGCCTCCTTCCTAACCGATGTCTCAAAACTTGCCCAGAGGTTAGGTTTAAACCGCGGATCCTTTGTTTCTGAGGCAAGTGCGCTACCACTGCGCCACGGCTGCTCAATATTTTACCTATCAATATTTTACCACAATATTTTTTTATACTTTGACTATCTTTTATCTATCTTTTATACTTTAATTATCAATAGATTATATATAACTTGGTATGAAATCAAGTTCCTATCAGTACTATCATTTGACCTGCAAAACAATGTATATATTTAAAAACGCCAAATTGCTGTTGATATAAGCTTTAACCTAATTACCTCATGGGTAAGCTATTAACATTGCTAAAACCTTTAGAGTTTGAGAATAATGCTTATAGGAAGATATAGTGAATCAAGAACATTCTCAAATTATGAGCACTGTGAGCATAATCTCTGATTGGGATTTCCACAGTTAATGCTGTGACATTTGTTTTAGGTTATCCTAGCCCCAAGCAAAATAAAGGTATTGGCCGGTAAAAAAAATTCGTACTTTAACATGATTTTTTTACATAGCTTACTTAATAAATAAATATAACAGCATTAAATTAAAAATCAACAAGTAAATGTAATGGATAGTTACAAATATTTAATCCAAAGAATAAGCAAAGGTTAATCAGATCTTTGTACTTTATATATATTTGAAATAGGGTAAAACAAAATATAGATATTTTTAAAGAATACTTTATTTTGTCTAGATTACATTATTATACTGATATCTTACAGGAAAACTTTTAGTTTGAATAATAACTAGAAGGTATGAGCATTTCTGTCCGCTATTGATTCGTAGCATTTTCCACCCATTTTGACGACATTAAACACCAACATGCCTCGTCATGTTGGTGTTTAATGTCGTCTAATGCCTCGTCATGTTGGTGTTTAATGCCGTCTAATGCTTCGTCATGTTGGTGTTTTATGTTTCAGCAGAGTACTTGTTAGTGTTCTTCAATAAAACTTTTTTTTCAATTTTGTAAAAACAGAGTGTTATTTTGTTCATTCACCGCCGTCAAATCATTTTAAACTGCTTGAAGCATATTTTTTTTTGAGCCTTTTCATAATCGTGCTCATAATGACTGTTATGTCTTTAACTAATCTATTTTTTTGAGAGTCTACTATTTTCTACTATCGTGTTTGGCTTGAGCGTTTTGTCATTATTTAGCTCTTTTTAGGCTTCATTAGAATTTAAACCCATTGTTCATATTTACAAACATATGTACACTATTAACAGGTAGGAATTTAAAAAAAACATATAACATATACAATACAGTAGACGAACTTTGTCTCTCCAACATTCAAAAAAAGTTGTTATTATGTTTTTATACTTTTTGTTTTTTTTCTAAATAAATAGTTTCAAGATATAAAAATAGTAGTGATGTGCCGGGTACCCGGTTCGGTCCCGGAGACTTGGTTGTTTGGCTGTTTTACCGGGTACCAGGATCCGGTCTTTTTGTTGCAGTACCTGGTACAGGGTATCTTTAAAGAACTTTTTAATAAAGATTGCCCTTAAGTTCTGTAAATATTTGTAATTCTAAGAGTGTTTTGGAGTCGATAATCAGGTAAGAGTGTTATGGAGTCGATAACGAAAGTCCGATTTACCGATGTACGAACATCGAGTTTACACTTTAATTTGCGTAATTTAAATTTATAGCCTCGAGTGTAAATATATTTGTTTATTAAAAAGAAACTTGATATATTTAGGCAGATTTAATTAGCGCAAATTAATCAGCGTTATTTTTTGAAAACGATTCAGCGCTAGAGATTTCACAAACTTTTAATTCAACTTTTTTAAATGAACCCGGTTCCGGGTACCCGGCCTCAGATCGGTTTTTTCTTACGGGAACCTTAAATCGGGCACTCAGCATAAACTGGTTCCGGCACTTCTCTAAAAAATAGAATAAAAAGAATCTTTTTTTAATTCTATAATTCATTAAAAAATTTAATTTCTTGCTGCCCTCTCCAAAAGCCTCGCCTCTGCTGCCTATGCTAGACATGGGTAAAGAAGGGCATGCTTACATATGTTGCTCTCCATTGTACTAGTGATTCATTTTTTTAAAAAAACTCCTTTATAACTTCTTGAAATCGTTTATTCAACAAACCAGTTTTTTCAGTAGGATAATTTTTTACAAAACCATTACTATTTCTGAGAAATTTTATATAACACTTTTTTTTTTTTAGAATTTTCTTTTATAAAGTTATTTAACTTACCAAAGTCAAGGAGGTCATCACAGTCGAGGTATTTTATTGTGATTATAACCCTCTCTCGACTTTGACAGGCGCTTTTTTGTGATTATAACCCTCTGTCAACTCCAAAACGCAAATCTTGAAATATAAAAAACATAAAACTTCTTACTTAAAGAACAAGCGCTTGCATTATTTTTTACAAATATTATTTAACATAATTCTAATAACGACATGTCCCGCATGGTCTAGTGGCTAGGATTTCTGGTTTTCACCCAGGCGGCCGGGGTTCGATTCCCCGTGCGGGAGATAATTTTATTTTAAGAAAAACATATGGTTATTACTGGTTATAACTAAGTTTTACTAAATAGTTTATAACTAATATAATAATTTACTAAATAGTAAAACTTAGTTATTACTAAATAGTAAAACTAAGTTTTACTATATAGTAAAACTTAGTTATAACCTTAGTTATAACTTAGTTATAAATAGTTATAAATAGTAAAACTTAGTTTAAAAAATTTAATACCTAGTTTAAAAAATTTAATACCTAGGTTATTTTATACGATTTTGAGTCAGGTTGAATATAGTTTGATATTTAAAACCATAATATTATGGTTTTAAATATCAAACTATATTCAACCTGATTCAAAATCGAATAAAATAACCTAGGTATTAAATTTTTTAAACTTGTAAAGTTTGAAAAATTACAATTAAAAGCAAATACCATCTTTTTTAAAAACAAATACAATGATTTTATTGAGAACATAAAAACTTGCTTTTAGATCTAAAAGCAAGTCTTTATGTGCTCAATAACAACATGTATTTGTTTGAAAAAAAAAACATTTTTACATTTTTTTAATGCTAGATGTCATAATATACAGGGTGTCAACTGTACTAAAAAAAACTTGAAAAAATGTATAAAGCTGTATCTTAAAAACACAATGGAATAACTAGAAAATTTATTTTTCGTAATTATTGAATCAATGATGCACAAAAGAAATTTTTTTAAGTTTCTTTAGCATGCTTTTCAAAAAGAGCCCTTTCTAGTTATTTCAGCTTATCCAGCAGAGTGGACACCCCGATATATTCAATAGAAATGGAAAATCTTTTAAGATGGTATTTTAATGTTTCTTTTAATTCTTTTTATTCTTTTTAAAATAAAATAAACTAAAGGTTTCTTAAATAGAATCTAAAAAAATATTTGGGGTGTTGCATAATCAAACCTAAAAGGTTTTTTTCTGACCTGTGTTGTCTGACCTAGTTTGATATTTAAAACCATAATAGTTATAACCAGTAATAACCATATGTTTTTCTTAAAATAAAATTATCTCCCGCACGGGGAATCGAACCCCGGCCGCCTGGGTGAAAACCAGAAATCCTAGCCACTAGACCATGCGGGACATGTCGTTATTAGAATTATGTTAAATAATATTTGTAAAAAATAATGCAAGCGCTTGTTCTTTAAGTAAGAAGTTTTATGTTTTTTATATTTCAAGATTTGCGTTTTGGAGTTGACAGAGGGTTATAATCACAAAAAAGCGCCTGTCAAAGTCGAGAGAGGGTTATAATCACAATAAAATACCTCGACTGTGATGACCTCCTTGACTTTGGTAAGTTAAATAACTTTATAAAAGAAAATTCTAAAAAAAAAAAAGTGTTATATAAAATTTCTCAGAAATAGTAATGGTTTTGTAAAAAATTATCCTACTGAAAAAACTGGTTTGTTGAATAAACGATTTCAAGAAGTTATAAAGGAGTTTTTTTAAAAAAATGAATCACTAGTACAATGGAGAGCAACATATGTAAGCATGCCCTTCTTTACCCATGTCTAGCATAGGCAGCAGAGGCGAGGCTTTTGGAGAGGGCAGCAAGAAATTAAATTTTTTAATGAATTATAGAATTAAAAAAAGATTCTTTTTATTCTATTTTTTAGAGAAGTGCCGGAACCAGTTTATGCTGAGTGCCCGATTTAAGGTTCCCGTAAGAAAAAACCGATCTGAGGCCGGGTACCCGGAACCGGGTTCATTTAAAAAAGTTGAATTAAAAGTTTGTGAAATCTCTAGCGCTGAATCGTTTTCAAAAAATAACGCTGATTAATTTGCGCTAATTAAATCTGCCTAAATATATCAAGTTTCTTTTTAATAAACAAATATATTTACACTCGAGGCTATAAATTTAAATTACGCAAATTAAAGTGTAAACTCGATGTTCGTACATCGGTAAATTGGACTGTCCATAACACTCTTACAATTCTTTTGTATTTCCGCACAAAAGAATTTTGTGTAAAGGCATATAAAAGCTGTACCGCTATACTTGCGAAAGAGAAGACTCAAGAGAAAAAAAAAATAGCTTTAAACTTTTTAGGTTATACAATTATTATTAATATGCTAAGAAAATATAAAAGTGAAGCTTCTAAAAGGAGATTGAAGAAAGTGAGAGGGAGAGAGAGAGAGAGAGAGAGAGAGAGAGAGAGAGAGAGAGAGAGAGAGAGAGAGAGAGAGAGGAAATGGAACCTAAACTTCCGAAAATGACAAACTTTTTTTTATCAAACCAAATCAATATGTAATTTTCACAACCTGTAGAAAATAATAAAAACAATGAAAAAAAAGATGAAAACAATAACACAGAAAATGAGGTAGCCTGCCGCGATCCTTCAAATAAAATTCGCAAAGTTGAAAGTGTTGAATCTACAATAGGTAATAATGAACTTGACTCAGGTACTCCAAATTTATGAAACCTCTAACATCTGCTAAATAAAAAATTTACTTTTTAGGGATTTAATATTATTTTTCTATAAATTGTCACTTTTTATGACACTCATTACATATACTTATCATTTTTTTATTAAGTTTATGTTCATCATGATTTTTTTTTCCTAGATTCTATTCTACATTAAGAGCCTGCTTTATAAGCATTACAATTAAAGGAAAATGAATGTATGAAGTATTTAAACAAAGGAAAATTAAAGTCTTTTTTTAAAAAAAAAGACTCTAATTTCGAATCTTCAAAACGAATATTCGGATAAATATTTTCAAAAAGTGATGAATAATGGCAAAAAGCATGACCGAAAATGTTTTCTAAATCAACTGGATGTGTATTTTGTTATTTTTGTAAATTGTTTTTAATTGATTACAACAATGTAATTGTCAAAAGTGGTTTTTACAATTGAAAAAAAGCTGAACAAATTATTTTTAGTCACGAAAACAGCAAGGAACATATTCAAAGTATGATTAAGTGGATAGATTTCATTAAACAAAATACTCATATCAATTAATATATGGTAAGCGAAATTAATTATTGGGCTGCGATCTTAAATAGAATAGTAACAGTTTTTCCTTTTTTAGCCGGAAGAAGTTTGCCATTTCGAGGCCATATTTTTTTTTTTTTTTTTTTTTTTCTTTCTCTGTTTACATAACATAAGAATTTTACAGATTCTACTACATAATATAAAATTTAACAAAATAAGTAAAACAGATAGGGACTCAAAGAAGATGAGGATGACAGAACGTCATCGCAATCTTTTCATAGAACCCCTTTAACAAGATTTAATTAAAACATCGTAATATGACATACAAAACAAAAATTTCAATAAAATATCATAACAAAATATATAGTTATAGTTATAGGATCGTCAGTTATCCAGTTATAGGATCGTCAAATAACGGAAATTAATTAGGCGTTTTAGAACCGCTGACTCAATTTGATCCAGTTTTAAAGCAACACATTGACACTTTTGCAAATAAAGAAAAAGATAGTGTATCTTGTTTGTCTAAAACTAATTGTAAACAATTGATATTATTTCTCAAAAGGTTTTAACGCACATTATTAGCAAAATAAAAATAGCTATGTTTTTAATAAATAAAAATAACGCACATTATTAGCAAAATAAAAATACTGGGGAATTTCTCACATAGATCAACTTTCTATGATATTTTGTTTTTATCTAAATGGTCACGTGTATGAGCAATTTTTTTGTTTTCTACAAATTAAAAGCCTCGAAGGTAAATCCTTGATTATTGATATTTAGATCTACTGGAAAAATATGATATTGATATAAGCAATTGTCGTGGACAGGTATACGACAAATCAAGCAACATGTCTGGTAAATATTCTGGATTACAAGCACGTTTAAGAGAGCGAAGTGAATTAATTTTTTAAATCTCTGCGCTGGACATTCTTTAAACTTAGTGTCGCAGTCCTGTGTCAGTGAGTGCATCAGTTATCAACTATTTTGGCGTTCTGCAAAGTTTGTATTCATTTTTGTAGCTTCAACACAAAAATGAGATTTATGGAAAGAAAAGCATGCTACACTCAAGTGCCTATCAGATACACAATGGTCATGTAGGTCAAATGCTTCAAAATGTTTAGTAGAAAAGATGGATAGGATTCATGCAACGTATGTCTTATAGATGAGGATACAGAAGAAAAACTTAATACTCGTCACGAAGCTGTGTTTTTAATAAATAAGATCACTAAGCTAGAGTTTGCATTCATCGTTCTATTTTGGCATCACATACTTATGAGGTTTAATGAAGTTAGCAATTTTCTCCAAAAAGTTGAATTAGATTTGCATACAGCAAGCAGTATATTACTTTCACTAATTGACTTTGTAAAAAAACTTACAAAATAACTTTACGAGATTTGAGAATGATTAAAAAAAACTTTATTCGTTTATTGAAAAAGGCTATTCTGATAAAAGCAAAAGTAATTAAAAAGTTGAGCAACGGAGAAAACCAAGTTGATACTTTAAAACATATCTTACAAGTTTCGAGTGAATACTTTAAACATATCTTACAAGTTTCAAGTAAACACATTTTTTTGTCATTATTAACAAACTTGTTACATAACTAACTATAAGAAGTGATGGTTACAGCCACACAAATAAGTTATATTATATATAAGTTTGGATCTCTGTCAAAGCTGTTAACTATTATTACCATGGATTTGTACAAAAGGATTTAGAAGATAGTTTCATTTATTGAAATAGAACAATTTGTGTTATTCTCCAGGTTTTTTTTTCCTCATAAAAAAGAAAAAATATGAAACAAAAAAAACATTGATTCCTCAGCATGTTTTAAATTGAATTATTGAAACCAATATTATTGATTTTTTTTCGAATATAGTTAGTTAGAAACAAACAATATAGCATATTGTTTGTTTTTAACTATTTCCATAACAACTTGCAAGGTGGAGAGATCATTCCTTGTTCTAAAAAGAGTAAAGAACATGCTTCGATCAATAATGCTCCGTAATTATTTAAGCACTTAAGATTAACAATTGAATCAAAATTTTTATAAATTTTTAGCGATGTGATGTGAAAGAAAAGCATGATGACCATAGATTTCAGCGATGTGATGTGAAAGAAAAGCATGATGACTATGGATTTCAGCGATGTGATGTGAAAGAAAAGCATGATAATTATGGATTTTAGCGATGTGATGTGAAAGAAAAGTAGATAGTAATCAATTAACTTATATAAAAATAAACATGAAATCTTAACTTAAATAAATAGCTTTTTTCAAGAAAGTCTTGATTTTACTCATTTTTGTCGTTGCCCATGAAAAGGAGTCTCATATTTAGGCCCCTTAATAGCTCTGGGCCCCGAAAAGTCTTAATCCGCCATTGGTCAAATATCATAATATCATGAGAATAAACTTAAAACTCCTGTGCCATATGACTAAGTAGAATATAGAACATTAAAACAGCCATAAATTGTTTCCACAAATTGTTTTAGTGTTCTATAAGTCACAACATTGCATTTCCTACAAAAAAAATTTTGAGTATTGAATACAATACATGTTTTTTTAATAAGCATTATGCCGATAAAAATATCTAGGCTCAGATATTGTTAAAAAATTAGCATATATATATATATATATATATATATATATATATATATATATATATATATATATATATATATATATATATATATATATATATATATATATATATATATATATATATATATATATATATATATATATATATATATATATATATGTATATATATATATATATGGGTCATAAAATTTTTTTTTAGAGTTGCTAACCTGGCTCTGGTTGTTTTTTTATGTACTAATTTAGGAAAGTATTTACTTTTATGGATTGAACAATATCTTTCACCCGTAACTATAATTTAAAAAAATTAGCAGGCCCTTTTATTATTCAAAAAAAAAGTTTTTAAAAATTATGTAATGTAGGTACTCAAATAAAGCGAAATTTTATTGTATAATAACTGCATTTATTGCATATTTTAGTTTTTTAACTAAAAGTGAAAAAGGTGCATTTTTACATGTTTTTTAATAACAATTTTTTTTGGCAATATAATTTTTATAAAACGATTATTATTTTTGAATTTTATATAAAACTTCGCTTCTTTTGAGTACCAGGTTGATTT